CAGTGCATCCACGATAATAACCAGTGCAGTCCTTAATCATGTACGTGTATGTTTCATGCCATTGAATCACATTCAACTTGTGGTGATATCAGGATTTTCAGTGTGCAAAGTTCAGAGTGGTTGACCATTGCCACCTCCCATTAAATGAGTTTCTGTGGCCGAGTGGAAATTTGAACCTAGGATACCTGAGACCTACTCCAGCTTTCTATGCACTACACTCACTGATTCACCTGGCTTAGCCATGCATAAGTCTCATTTATTTCAGTGTAATGTAATTACTAGCACCAACATTCAGATTTGGAATTGAAATTCAGAATTAAGAATTTCAGCCCTTTAGATTTGAAATATGGAATTTCTGGACCTCCTGCCATCAATATGAGTACTATATAGTTATTATTTTCCCCTTATAGAACAAAAACATGCAAAATATTTTTCAAGGATTTCCCTATGTCTACCAACAATTTCTCAGTGATCATGCTAAATAAAAAGCATGCACACCAACAGCTGGGAATGGCTAGGTATAAGAAAATTGCTATAATGGGCATACTGATTGAACCTGAATACAGTAGTTGGAATCCCAGCAGGAAATGCCACCAGCATTGGGGAAGCAGAAGAGAGGCTGTACTGGGGAGTAGGAAAATACCCTTGACCCCACCGTCAGGCAGCTTGCAGCAGCAGATAGTGTGTCATTGGTGGGGAACTGTGCCAGCAGCATGGGTTACAGTACATTTGAGTCTTGGAGATCAAGTTGGCAGGATGAAAGAGGCAGGAAGAGGGGACAGCAGACTGAAGCACGGCATACCTAGGACTGTGAGTAGAGTGTGCCATTCTCTCTTACTGAAAGGGGACTTCAGGGTAGCTCATCAATGGCAGGTAGATCTTAAGGAAAATATGGTTTTCTACAGATGTAAGTTCCAGGTGTGAGTGGCATGGACTGATAATGTATCCTACTTGAGAGAATATTGTCTCACTGGGCACACTCACGGGTGGGCACATCTCCCACCTTGGCCAGTCTTCCCCAAGCAGACTTCTTCTCAACCCAGTGAGAAAAGGGGTTGATCTCTTTTGGCTTGCAGGGCTCTACATGTATATATCTACTTCTGCCTCTGCCCTGTCCTTCTTCTTGAATGGTGTCTTTGGAGGACAGGATCTTGCCACGTTTGTCAAGACAGTGCCCCAGAAAGTGTGCCCTGTTGTTGGAGGGATGAGGGTCTTGGAGTTTAGAATACAACTGTTGGTACTGCTGTTTGGGGTGCTATGAACATTGCCAGTTTCTTCCTGCTCTGTGTGGCCCGTCAGTGCTAGCCAGACCTTTAGTAGCTGCTGCTGCCTGTGATGGAAAATTTGTAGGCATAACCCTTCCCCCCGTTATTTAATGTCTACTGCCCACAATTTAATTCAGGGGTCCAAGAGAGTTGCTAGATGTACTTCTTCTTCCACAAAGAGGCAACCAGGTAGTGGAACCAGTCTTTGTAGGGGTACTGGTCCAGAGTTGCATAGTAATACTCACTTATATTGTTTAGGATGTTGTAATGATATGATCAGCAGGTGACATTTACTGATGTGGCAAATTACCATCTCAGTATTACTGATCTCTGTAAACAATCAAAACATAAACAAAGTATTTGCTCCCTTATGAGTTTGTTGCTTTCATAAAAGCAATAGAGATTTCCATTAAAATTTTTCTGACTGTTTATACAGACAGAAATTAATTACACTGGTAAAATTCATTTGTTTCCACACCACACACAGCAGATACCAACAACACTGGTACCAGGCATGAGACATAGAAGAACAACAACATGTTGCAGCACAGCTCAAAGAGGCACCTTAGAACAGATGAGCACAACACTGAAAACTTTACACTGGCTTGGATGGTTGAGCACTTGGAATATTTTTCTGTGTGTGACCTTATAATATGCTTAAAGGGTAAGAAATGTATTTTCTTTCATATACTCTTAGTTTTCTCTTCTTTTTATATTTAAAATATTTGTACCCTGCCTTTCCCCTTCAAAAGGACCTAAGGTGGCTTACATCATTAAGAAAGACAAAATTTAAAACATAAAAATGATATGTATACAAATGTAGGCATCCTCCAGTCTCAAGAGACTATGGTAACATGGTCTGAATCTTGGAACAGTTTCTAGTGTGGCTAAGAAAGCCAATTCGAGAGTGACAATCCTTTCCACATTGAAGACAAATACAATCTGTCCCCTGTCCAGCTCCCTGATTTTGCTAGTTTCTGGACTGCCTCTTTGCCTGCCTCAGCCTGCTGAACAAGGGTCTCTTCAAATTGGGAGAGGCCATGCTGTACTGCCTGCCTCCAGGCTGAATGCTCAGATGTCAGGGTTTCCCATCTGTTGAGGTCCATTCCTAAGGCCTTCAGATCCCGCTTGCAGATATCCTTGTATCACAGCTGTGGTCTCCCTCTGGGGCAATTTCCCTGCACTAATTCTCCATACAGGAGATCTTTTGGAATCTGACCTTCAGCCATTCTCACGACATGCCCAAACTGACGCAGATGTTGCTGTTTCACTAATGTATATATGCTAAAAATTCCAGCTCATTCTAGGACTACTCTATTTGGAACTTTGTCCTGCCAGGTGACAAAAATGCATTGGAGGCAACGCATATGGAACGTGTTCAGCTTCCTCTCCTGCCATGCATGAAGGGCCCTGGACTCACTGCAGTACAGGAGTGGGCTCAGGACACAGACTCTATAGACCTGGATCTTGGTATATGCCGTCAGCTTCTTATTAAGACATACTCTCTTTGTGAATCTAGAGAACATGGTAGCTGCTTTGCCAATGCGAATATTTACAAATATTCAAAAAGAACTAAACAAATGTTATATCCAAAAATGGTAAATAAAAACCAATATTCGAAACACATTTAAAAGTAGTAAGACACAAGAATTAATTTTAAAAAAACTCTCAGAGAGCCAATCATTAAAGGGAAAGCCTGTCTTTAGAGAAAGGTTTTCATTGCTTGTGGAAGGACAGCAAGGATGGGCCCAGCCTTGCAACCTGTGGAAGGGAGTTCCAGAGTCTGGGAGCAGCGAGAGTGAAGGCCCCTTCTCATGTCTCCACCAAAACACACATGTGAAGGTGATGGGACTGAGAGAAAGTCCTCCTCTGATGAAGGTAACACACAGGCAGGTGCAGTAAATGAAGTCATGTTCCTTGAGACAGCTTTAAGAACTTTGATATTTTAAGAGAGGTATTCTCTGCTTTTTCAGTGTGCCTTTTTAGGGTATAAGCGCCTGCATTTTTAGAATGCAGACTTCTGCATGATTTAAGTTCTGTTTACAAATTAAGTTTTATTTTTGGATGATTTCTTGTTTGCAACTCCTCTTAGTTGTAAGAATTTTGGATGGCAATTACACCTGGAGCTTTTCACAAGTTTCAAGAATGGATTTCTGCTGAAATATTTGTGCCTACAGCTTTTCTCATAGCTGTAAGAATGTTTTCAATACATTTTGTTACTTTTTGGATTTCATGTTATGCATATGGAATGTAGAAGCAACATAGATAAGTAAAGTCTCTAGAGATAGACAAGCAGATGCTGCCTGGAATCATTGCAACAATGAAACTATATATTTTACCATGATACCCAGACACCCTCAGATAGATTTTGATATGACTGGAAATGGTTATCTGGTTTCATTCTTAAATTAACTCTAAATGGGACAAATGCCAGCTATGAAGAACAAAAGCTTCTGATTGATTCTTAGAGGCCTATAAAGGTCTATAGAGCTCTTTGGATGCTATTCAGGAATCAGAATTTCTGACCTGATGTAGCTTCAATGTATCAAAGCTTTTGCTGGCAAGTTTGCTCCAGGCATGTCCAGTGTGATAAATAATCATTGTTTTTCCCTTTTGAAAGGCCTTTTGAAAGGATCAATATTTCAGCCACTGCAGACAATATTCGAAACACATTTAAAAGTAGTAAGACACATGAATTAATTTTAAAAAAAGCAGATAAGCAAGATTAGAAAGTGCAATTTATGTGTGGTATTCTAAGCGTATGGTACTTTAGGGTAAGTGCAATTTATGTGTGGTATTCTAAGCATATGGTACTTTAGGGTTGCCTATTTTAGTGTGTTTGTGTGTGTGTGTGTGTGTGTGTGTTCAAAGAGTTTTACTTTTAAAAATTATTACACAAACACCCTTTCTCCAAACATCCCCAAATCAGGCAAACAGTAAGAGTGGACTGTCTGCTATAACTGTGCCAAATATGGTACTGATCTGAAGTCCTGCTTCAAAATTATAATTTTTTGTTTGAGCTGCCTACATTTTTAAATTTGCCCTGTAAAATGATTATTTGTTCTGCTCCATGATGTCATTGCTGCGCTCTCTTATAGCAATAAAGAAAGGCCCACAAACTGTCAGGAGTTCTCCTGCAGTTGAGCTGTAGGGCAGCTCCCTCTGACTTCACTGGGGCTTTTTGCAAGAAGATTCTCTAGTAGATTGTGCTGAAAGCTATTGCCTACCATTAGGATCAGTGAGTTGGATAACAATAGTTTAATTTTCTACATGGTTTTTTTTCTTTAGCCAGCCAGCTACATTCGATTTGTCTTCTATTGCTGCTCATATTTCCATAGTGATTTATTCAATTGTACTAAGCCAACAAAAGAATCAATTTTGAAGCATGGTAACCTATAAATTTTTGAAGGCAATCATGTCTCTGCATTGGCATCCTCTGCAAATGGCCTGCATCACAGGCTCCATCTTCGATCTTCTCCAAATTAGAGGGGGGAAATCACAAGAGACAAAGACTTTCTATAGCATCTGTTTACCTATAGTGTCAGTGTTGAAACTGAATTAGCATTGGGAGCACAGAACCCAAGTCTGCACTACAAAACATCTGGAAGTCATAAGAGACATTAGGTTTTTGGGTGGTTCCAATTGCACCCTAAAAATAAGGAATACATTTTTACATTAAAGTGTAATGTGATAAATACTAGAAACTCTGAAATTGGTGTATTGCACAATGTGGAAGCATATCAGCAAAGCTTGGGTTAACAATATTTTCTGCAACAATCCTGAACGTAATCTCTATTTGGAAGATTCAAACAAGTTTTTAGGACTGATACTAAACAATAGGAGTTACAGTGTTCTGCAGTGCTGAGAAGAGAAGCTTTTGAGATGGTTGAGAATGGTAGATGTGAACCCATCTTGGTTGAGCTCCTTTCCCCGAGCATTTAAAAATATATGTGGGCAGGTGGGGATTCTATTTGCATGAAAGAAAGTCTTTTTAAAATCTCCAATGGAACATCCTAAAAGCTTCTGAATCAGGGATAAATGCATTAAAATTCTTATGAGAGAGAGAGAGAAAGAAAGAAACAACAATTTGCATCCTGATGGCACAGGAGAAACTTTTACTCCAGCAAGAGAGGTCTGGTTCTTCAGACTAATAGGGGTGGATGAAGCTAGTATGTAAAAGCACTGGGTTTTCCCCCCCACACCAGTTTGATTACACTTTTTGATCTGAATGTCTGATCAGCTTTGGAAGAAGACTCTATGCTTTTCATTATGGTCTGGTGTCTATCCATGGGGAGCTGAGGCTTGAAATAGAAATCCAATCAACTAACATGACTCCAGTGTAATCACTCTGTCTTTGAAGCAGAGTACGTTGAGCTTCGTTCCCCCTGCTGCCTTCAGACGATAGTTCTTCTAGTTTTGCTCTAGCTTTGTTGTTGATGTTGGGGAGAAAGAAAGAAATGTTGGGTCAGGAAAGAAATTAATTGGCTTGAAATTAACTCAAAAAAAAAAAAAAGACATGCCACAGACTTTTTGTGTGTGTGCAAGAGATGTTAGGACATCCATCCCACTGAATCTACAAGTTAAAAGGGATTCTTGGAGGGGTAAACAGCTGCAGCCATGCAAAAGCTGTTGCACATTTTTTGCTTCTTGGCCTCTAAGGCAAGGCAGTGGAGACTAGTGGCTCCAGTGCCATGGTGCAGTAAATCTGCTCCAGGTTTTACAGCAAACATTAGAGAAGCAATCCAAGATACAGCACCTTGGATAGCTCCTCCAACGGTCGGAGTGGGTTAAACCCTGGAATGGATTCACAGCTACCCCTATGACAGTCTCCAGCAGCTTACACTGTGACAAGGGAAAAGAAAGAATGCCGTGCCATGGTGAAGCAGTGTGTGTAAAACGGCCCAGGTTCAATTATTGGCATCACAGTTTTCACAACAACTCGGGTAGGAGGTACTGTTAGCCTAACACTAAAGCATATATTTCAACATACTTACTGAGTCTCTCAACCACAGGGACATATTTCTTCCTAGAGTTCTTTTTTTCTCCCAAAAGTTTTTAACCCCAGGTGACTCACTAATCCAAGTCATGCTGAGAAATGACTTAAGAGTATGACTCAGCATGTCCTGGTCTTCTCTTCACAAGCCTGCTAGGAAACACAACACTTGGTATGTGCATACAAGTGTGTACAGACTCAGCATTATCATTTATTCTATCAAATAAATTGGTCAGATTTGCCCTTGGTATATGTCTCCGGGGTTTTGCTGGAGCCACCAAACTGAAATCTGAGGTTTGATGAAAGTAGATGAAATTGCCAGAAGATATGATTCTTGATCCATATATAATATGTAATAAATAAGTAGTTGTGCATGGTGTGTGTGTGTGTGTGTGTTTTGCATAAAAAGAGGCATGCATGGGGTATCAAATCCTTCTAATAATTGTAAGAACATTTGATATGCTAGGAGAATGCAGACATTTAGTGCTAAGCTTAGGGCTATTAGGCAGAGGTAACTGCTCCAACAATTCTTAACTGGATAAAGGCAGAAAATTCACATTTACTGCTGCAGTATATCCATTCAGGGACAGTGCAGAAGAAAGATCCCTGAATCTGGCTGCAGAAGTTCCTAAAATTGGCTGCTAATTGTGCTAACCTGCTCAGCCATTACTGCGAATCCATGTGACTCTGTTTGTCTTTCACTTTCTCTCAGATGGAGCAAGCAACCTCCAGAGGCCTGAGGCTCACATATGCCCACCATGGCACCTTGGAGTGTTGCACCCATTTCCTTACCTTGCCCATTCTTCAAAATATATATTTTAAAGCATTTTTTAAAACTGAAATCCATGGGGTATGTGTGGCACATGGGGTGCTGGCCTCCCCAAAATGTGATCAAAGTGCCTCCCAGAGTCCCAGAAGGCACTAGAGACCTTTTAAAAAGCAATTGTTAAATTAAAAAAGAAAAGAAAAATTAGCTTTCAGGGTGCTATGGATCCCCAGGGGTACTGAGGGCTACATTTGGTACCCAGTGCATGTAGCATGTGTGTCCATGGGCTGCATGTAGCCGATGGACACACTGTGCCCTCCCATATGCCCAAAGGTAGTGGCTCCAAAGAAAGTAGAAAAGAAAGCTGACAATCAACATCTAGATTTAAAGATGCAAAAACAGGGGAGCATATCAGGTTCCCAGTATTGTGTAGTGGTAATCCTCATTACCATCATCATCTTGGAACTACAGAGCTGGAAAGGATTCTATAGATGATATAGAGTCCAGCCCCTGTTAAGGAGACATAGTGGGGGAATTGAACAACCAACCTCTGATTCCATTGCCAGATTCTTACACCACTGAGCTACCCAGCAGGAATTAGGTGATCCAGATCCAAGTTCTCGCACAGCCATGACATTTGATGGGTGGTACTCTCTCAGCATAACCTGCCTCAAAGAAGATGAAGTGGATCATCAGAAAGCCATGGAAACCACCTTGACAGAGGGCAGAAGCTACAAATTCAGCTAATAAATAAGTAAATCAACACTTTGCTCCTGATTCCCAGCTTCCGGCACTTCTCTGGACGCTCAGTCTTGTATCTTGCAGAGTTTACCCATACATTCCCCCCCCCCCGAGACATCATCAGCACCATCATGTATCACCAAGTTGACTCTGACTTAGGGCAGCCCTTCCCAGAGTGCTCTAGATATAGAATAATCAGATGTGGTTTATCATTCCCTTCCTCTGGGGTATGCTTGTGTGCTCTGGGACTGTGCAGCTTGCCCAAGGCCACACAGGTTAGCTCTTCTCCCAGGAGACAAACTCCTGAACTCTGGCTTCACACCCAAGTTTGCAACTTAATGAGCCAGTCGATGCACAACACACATACAACATACCCCCCCCTTTATTACTAGCTGGCACACTTCAAATATCAGGGCAATGCTGGAAGAACTGTGCTGCAGAAGTGGAGAAAGGGGAGGTTAAGTGAGGGAGGGGAGGGCTGAGTTTCCCCTGGTATCACGCTCTGTTTGGGCTAAAATGTCTCTATAGAAGAGCAATGCTCATAGACCCATGAAGAACAAATGGTAGCTATGATGGCTGGGGGATTCTGGGAGTATTAGTGTCCAAATGGGATTTTTCTGAGCTCTGGGCTCAACACCGCGTGTGGGGAGAAGAAGGAGGAAATTGTGCCTGCCTTCTGTACACAATGTCCGGGGAGGGCGAATTTGGCCACTGCATAGATGGAAAGCAGCACAACAGGAGCCGCAGCGAGCAGATTCTGTGCCTGACCTTTCCTAGAGATGGAATGATGCACTTGAAGCTCCCAGCACTGACAAAGTGACAGGAGTGAAAATGGCCTCAATTATAATGTGATATTATCTCGGCTGTGACTCAGAAATGTCTTGATCTCTTGGGCCAAGAAATTCCAGGGCTGGGGGGTGGGTGGGGGTGCAACGGAGACATCAAGCTTAGCCCTTGATGTCCTATAGATTCTGGGGTCTGAAAATACTGACAGGACTCTGAGAAGGGATTCCACAAAATCGGCTCTTTTTCTTGAAACAGAGGTTTCACAGCTGAGACGCAGGAGAGGCGGGAGTCCTGCCAACTGCCTTGGATGCCCTGTAATGAGTTGAAATGAGGCGGCTGCCTCAGGCGGCTTGTTTTGAGAGTCATTAAAGGCAGCAGAGTGGCAGGGAGAGAGTTCAACTGACCCAAGGGAACAATCAGGCAGGACCTTCTCCTGCCTCAGCCTCAGTGGAATGAGCCAGAGTTATGCAAGAGCAGTTCTTACCAGCCTTCCTTCCATCACAAAAAAGTTTGGTCAGCAGAACATCCTGGTAGATTATGTTCCCTGCTAATTAGCAAGAGAGAGTAAACCATGTGGATTTTCTGCCATGGGCACTGAAATGTCTGGAGGATGTCTGCAAAATATGTTGGCAGGGAGACTATTTCCTTTGCTTTCACCAGCTAATTCACCTTCTCTTCATCACAAAGAGAGGAAGAACCAGCACCAAGGGGTGAATGTACTGGTGCACCATATTTAGGTTGCTGCTGCTGTTTTTAATGGGATGGTCAGTTTCCTGAAATGCCTTAATGAACATTCCCCTTCATACTTATTCGTTCTACTCACTATCTAATTTGGACTTTTCTGGTTTATTATAATACAGTGGGGGTAGGCAGGAGAGACCCAGCTTGGTGTAGTGGATAAAGTGATAGACTAGGACTCAGGATTCCTGGGTTCAAATCCCTCCTTGGCCATGGAAAACTCACTCTGGAATGGTACTGGTAAAACTACTCCCTAAATATCTCACAGCTGGCTGGACAGCTTAGTGGTTTAGGTATTCTGACTGCAGAGCCACAGGTTGGGAGTTTGATTCTTCACAGTGCCTCCTGGGAGAAAGGCCAGTCTCTTTAATGCTAGGCAAATCCCAGGGCGTGTTGAGATAATAGCAATCTTGCATGTACTAACACTGGGTATCAGTGGGAGGGGACTTTAAACTCTAATGTGATTTTCCATTGCCACTAACTTGATTGGTATTTTTTCTCATCTCTGGAATTTGAGGCAAGGCCCATTCCATCTACCTATTTTGTTTGCTTGATTCCATTATCTTTTGTTGTTGATATTTTTCTAATTTGCAACTAATTTGATCTTGGATTTTTAATTAGGTAATCTCCCTGATAGACTGAGGGAATGCTGTAAACATAGTTTATCTTGACTTCAGCAAAGCTTTTGACAAAGTGCCCCATAATATCCTGATTAGCAAGCGAACTAGGTGTGGGCTGGATAGATCAAGTATCAGATGGATACACAATTGGCTACAGAATTGTACTCAGAGGGCGATGATTAATGGGTCTTTCTCTAACTGGGAAGATCTAACAAGTGGGGTACCCCAAGGCTCAGTCTTGGGCCTGCTTCTCTTCAATATTTTTATTAACGACTTGGATGAGGGAGGGTAGGGAATGCTTGCCCAATTTGTAGATGATACAAAATTGGGTGGAATAGCTAATGCCCTATAATAGTTGTCCCCAACCTTTTTCCAACCACGGACCAGTTGAGAGGTGGGGTCCGTGCACACGGGGATATGGCATGTTCATGCGGGGGCATGGTATGCTTGTGCATGGCACGCTTGCAGCGATGGGGCGTGCTCACACGCATGCTCGGTGCACGGTCATGGAGGGCGCTTGTGGGGGGGAGATCTGTATCCATGGCCCAGTCCTGCCTAGGTGACAGACCGGTGCCAGGTCGTGGACTGGGGGTTGGGGAGCACTGCCCTAGAAGACAGAAATAAAATTCAAAATGACCTTGATAGGGTGGAGCACTGGGCTGAAAACAAAACAATTAAATTCAACAGCGATAAGTACAAAGTACTGCACCTCAGAAAAAGAAACCAATTGCAAGTTACAAGACAGGGGATACCTGACTCAGCAAAACTATGAGTGAGAAGGATCTTGGAACTGTCGTAGATCACAAGCTGAATATGAGCCAACAGTGTGATGTGGCTACAAAAAAGGCAAATGCTATTTTAGGCTGCATTAATAGAAGTATAGTTTCCAAATCCCACGAGGTGCTAGTTCCCCTGTTTTCAGCACTGGTTAGGCCTCACTTTGAGTATTGTGTCCAGTTCTGGACACCACACTTCAAGAAGGATGATAATAAATTGGAACAAGTTCAAAGGGGGGTAGCTAACAAATTGGAACAAGTTCAGAGGGGGACGACAAAGATGATCGGGGGCTGAAAACCAAGCCTTATGAGGAAAGGCTGAAAGAATTGGGCATGTTTAGCCTTGAGAAAAGAAGACTGAGGGGTGATATGATAGCACTTTTCAAATATTTGAAAGGTGTCATACAGAGAAGGAGCAGGATCTGTCCTCAATCATCCCAGAGTGCAGGACACACAACAATGGGCTCAAGTTAAAGGAAGCCATATTTTTGTTGAATAACAGGAAAAAAATGCTGTCAGAGCAGTACAACAGTGGAACCAACCTTGAGTGCTCCAACACTGGAGGGATTCAAGAACAACTTAGATAATCACCTGGCAGATATGCTTTGATTGTATTCCTGCATTGAGCAGGGGGTTGGATTTAATGGCTTTGTAGGTTCTTTCCAACTTCACTTTTGTATGATTTCTTCTCTCTTAGACCTCCAAGCAGCAAGCATGGAGGGTCTCTCCATATGTTGGAGACTCAATTTTCCTTTTTAAAAAATCTTTCTGACTGCAACTATGTATGGTTACTGTAAGTAAAGGTACATTTTTCTGTATTCACGAAGGCTTTCATGGCTGGGATCTAATGGTTGTTGTGGGTTTTTCAGGCTCTTTGGCCATGTTCTGAAAGTTGTTCAGGGCCCGAAAGGGTCACCATAAGTCAGAGGTGACTTGATGGCAAGAAATTATTAGTATTAAATATCTCACATACCTTGAGAACCTCACAGAGGATAACATCAACAATTAACAGGATAGGCAGTTTGATCTGTCAGTTCCCATATGAAATCAGCACACTTGGAAAGGCGAAAAGTTTCTGTTGGTCTCTCTTCTGTTCATCTTGTGAATGAGAAACCTGGAAAAAATATGTTTCATCAGATGCATATGGATTATTGGGCTATATTGGTTATTATGAACTGGTTCTTATAGGAGAAGGGAGGCAAGATAATTATTTTAATTTAACACAATTTTAAAAAAAACTTTTTTTAAAAAACTCTCCATCTGGTATACAGAACTGCATTTCTTAAAAAGCTCCATTTTAGAAGGTCTCTCAGAGAAATTCTCTGAGAACTTCTCTGAGAGAAGCTTCAGAAGCTGAGAATATTCATGTTTATTTACTTCTTTGAACACTTTTTTCATACTTCAAATAGTGCTTTTATTGTGAGTTGAGCAATGGTTGAAAGCCATGGTTCTTAGGCACCTTATCATACACATGCCCTAGGACCTCCATCCAGGGTGTTAAACTGCGGGTGGCTCTGTTTTATAGCCATAGGTGGTTGGTTGAATCTCAGAGCCTAATGATGTCTCTACATCTGCTTCTGTTTAAGACAACCCCAGAATTGTGTGACATATTATTTTTGCAAGGAAACCTTCAGTAACATTTTTTTTCAAAAAAAAATTTCAAAGTTACATTGGGGAAAAGAAAAGAAGAAATATCCCCCACCAATATTTAAAACAAGTGTCAGGTGAAATTGCAGGGTTTCAGATCAATGTGTCATCTGCTGAAATGTGAGCAGCTGCTGCTTTTGTGGATGTCTTCCTTCCCCCGTTTTTTATTATAGCAACACTGATCTGTCATCTCCCTGATCTGTTGCACTGACAGGAATATTTGAGGTATCAGAGCAGGGAAGCTCAAGCTAGTCCAGTGGGAGACAGACAGAGAGCAAGAGAAGAGAAACAACTTGATGCTATCATATGCTATGCAGCTGAAATGTTATTGCCAGAGTGAAACTATTTATAGCAGGTTCAGTTGCAATGATGGGGTTCTGCAGTTCTAGACAAGTGGCTCTTCAAGTAGGGTTTTCCAATTCTGGCATTTAAGGAAGATTATATTGTATCATAGGGGGAAAAGAGTGAAGTATCCAGACTCTGATGGCCAGTTCTTCTACACAACTAAGTTTCCTAAATGTTTTCTTTTCTAGCAATGAAGATCAAGATTCAAGCTTATAGCCAGCGGTTTCTGGAGAAAGAGCAATACAATAAAGCAGCATACTCCAAAGCTTACTTTTTTGAATACAACTTCCAAAACCTACCAGCCAGGGTGGCCAATAGTTGTCTGAGAAATTCTTGGAGACGTAGTCCAAAAAAGTAACATTTCCAAGTTCTGAAAACTCCTAACCAAACATAATAGCAAACTTCTAAATACAAGTAGCCTAAGAGTATATTCTTATGCATGTTTCTTCAGAAATCAGTCCCATTGAAATCAATACAACTCACCCTATGTGAAGGAGTAAGGAATAAGTCTAACTATCACTGCATGAGAGTGTAGTAATGTTATTGTGCTGGCAGATCAAACCAACATTCTACAAGGCAATTTGAAAAATTGAGACAGCAACACCAACAAAACCTTTGAAAGTGGTGTTTGTATCAGCATCAAATTTAGTACAGATGTAGCACACAGTCTGCTCTTGCACTAATTTGGAAGGAATCTAGGCTGCAGGGGCTGAAACACTGATCCTCAAAAAGAACTTTGAAAGGGATAAAACAGCAACTTTCTTATAAACTGAACATGTGTGGAACAGGCTTACTCCCAAGACCCTTTCAAAGTAGATACATTGTTGCAGCTTCATGGGCCAGGAAGGGAAATGTTTGGAGGGCAATAAAAGGTAACAGAAACAGTCAAAAGATGAGTTTGAAAATTGTGCTTTAAAGAAAGTAATGGAGTGACCATCTTCCAGAAAGGGACATTATGCTATACATCTCCAGGCAATTAGCAAGGTATGGTCTATATTACAAAAACACACAGCAGTTGTGTTTGTCCAACTGTGAGTGCTTTCAGTGAACATTTCTGAAACCAGGCTTTTGACACCAGCTTTCAAAGGGAAAATCAGTTCCAGGTCTGGGGCAATCTGAACTTCTGACCTTCCCAGTCAGGTTCCAATTAGTTGACTCTGAGGAGGATCTCTTTTTTTAACATGTTATTATTTTTTATGACATACATACTGTACCTAGAAAGACAAATACAAAAAAGGAACCAAATAACAAACTAGAAGTACCTACAGATCAATGACACAAAGAAACTAACAAAACATACAGGACTAACAAAACATACAGTGGGGAGGCATTTCCCATACCAGCTTAACTATTGTATAAACTTCTGACTACAGAAATAATATATCCATGTGCATCTGCACATGCTGTATTCCACATCCCTATTTTATATATCTAATAGAGTGTCTAAACATCCTAAATCTATATTTATTTATTTATTTATTTATTTATTTATTTATTTATTTATTTATTTAT